TTCTCTTCTCTTCTCTTCTCTTCTCTTCTCTTCTCTTCTCTTCTCTTTTCTTGGCTTCTTGACACAGGGTTTCCCTTGACTCTCCTGGACACACTTTGTAGACCAGGCTGGCCTCAGAGTCTCAGAGATCTACCTGCTTCTGCCTGCCCGAGTGCTGGAATTATAGGAGTGTGCCACTACGCCTCACTGTGATTTCTTATCACATAAAGGAAGACAACATTGGAATTTACCCAGCAGACTCCTCACCTAGAATTTCATTATGAGTAAAAGACTTGGCATTGGTTACATGTCTCAGAACCCATTGTAGCAGCTGTGTAACAACTGACATAGAATGAAGGCACACTATCCTAAACTACCTGGGGACAGGTAGCCATATAAGGATTTCTCCATCTTACTCTTTCCCTCTATTTAGAGAAATCAGCCTTGTTTGAATGTCTCAGATGCCATTGGAAGATGTCCTTTTGATGTAAGGAACCATATATTCCTTTACAATATAAAGGTAAAGGCTGAGAGTACCTGCAGATAAAGAACATGAAAGTTGACTTGAGATGTCCACGTTCAGACTGTTCGTCCTTGCTCGCATGCTTTGCTTCCTATAGCCAGGACCATGCAATTATTCGTTCCAAAGTCATCTTTGCTTCTTCCCATCCCTGTTTGGGTGCCAATTATGTTGTGTGGCACTGCTCCTTAAGAGTCATGAGGAAATGTTTAGTCACCCCAAATAGGGAACCAAAAACAGACCAAAGGAAGAATATGACTAAAGTCTAATTTGGTGTGCCACTGGGTTTAACTGAAGTTACTTACAGGAGTATAGGTGAGTATAGATGAGTATAGGTGATTATAGGAATATAGTTACTTATGAGTAAATAAGTAAAGATATCTACATTGCCAAAATCCCACCCCACCATGGGTGATGGCTCACGAAGGCTGGAACCAACTTACCGGCAACTCAATAGGCTATAAAGTATCTTTCAGGTAGGTAAGCTAGCTTATGCTCTTACAAACAGTTTAGCCGGTCTCTTCCTCCTCTAGGAAGCTGCTGCTCTCAAAGTTTCCTTTGAGTAGCCATAAGCTTGGGAAGGAAGGGATCCTAGTACATCTCATTTCAAGAACTTCCTGAAGCTTATGAGTTGTTTACTTCCTGAGTCTTTTTTGATGATTTGTTATTTCGTGTACATTGGTATTTTGCTTGCATACATATATGTCTGTGTGATGGCATCAGATCTCCTGGAACTGGAGTTACAGTTGTGAGCTACCATGTGGGTGCTGGGAATTAAACCCCAATCCTCAGGAAGAGCAGTCACTGCTCTTAACTGCTGAGCCATTTCTCCAGCTTGCTTCCTGAGTCTTAGTGAATCTTCTTTTAGAACATCTGAGTCTTAAGAGTTTTCATGTAGGATGGAATGTGTTTTTTTTTCTCAGAAGAAAGTACTACGGAAGTACTTAACTGTAACTCTTATTGACTTTGCTAGAGAGTTTAGATGCTTGTCATAAATTACAACAAATATCTTTTCTCAAGCATGCTGGCTAAGTGACAGTATATTATTGAACTCTCCTGTTTTTAAGGTACTGTCGTTGACAGACTGCTAGTACTGTCACTCAAGAATATGTTAGATAACCAGGAGATGTGGTACATGCTTTTAACTCAGTACTCAGAAGGTAGAGGAAGGTGGTGGTGTTTTTTTTTTTTTAACAAAATTTTATTTGATTTTTCTCAATAAAAACTCAGGGGAAAGCCTCCTAGCTCAAAGAGGCAAAGCAAGCACCCAGGCTGACCTTCCTCCTAGAAAGAATCTCCCTTCCCATACTGCCTCTCTATGTTTTTTTCTTAATAACCCTATCTTTATTTTCTGTCGATTTGTTGCTCGCTCTGTCTCTTGACCTATGGTTGACTTTATTTGATCTTATTCACAATATCCAAGCAGAAAGCTCTTGGATTAAAGGTGTGGTCTGGGGCTGAGATACACCACAGTAGAAACAGGTTTTTCCAGTAAATAACACAATCTCAGGTTTCACAGTGTGATCAGATATTGTGCAACAAGGTGGATCTCTGAGTTTTTGGCCAAAGTGAGAATATGTTACAGGGTTGGGGACATGCACCAATCAATGAAGTGCATGTCACACAAACATGAGGACATGGTTTTAGATTCCTCAGCACTTATGTACAGGTGTAGATATGGTGGTACGTGCTGTAATCCTAACACTAGGGAAACAGAAACAGGAGGATCCCTGGAGCTCTTTGGCTACATAGTCTTGAACTGGTGAGGTCTAGTGCAGTGAGTGAACCTGTCTTAAAAGTAGAACACATGAGGCTGGAGAGATGGCTCATAGGTTAAGAACACTACCTACTCTTCCTGGGAACCCAGGTTCAATTCCCAGTACCTTCGTGGAGGCTCGTGACCCTGGAATGCTACCCCTTTGCCACAGATAACAGTGTCTGTTGTCCTTTTCTCTTCCTATCCTTGAGGAAGAAACAGCCTTTCCAAGCTCAAGTGGGTAAATTAGTTTTCTTTATTTTTGTAAGCATCTTATTAAACACAGAGAGCATAAAGAAAGAAGAACCTTTTACTCAAATTGCTCTCTACTCTATTTTATACCTCATACCTTGCTGCCTTCTGTTCCCTGCCTGATACCTTGTTTGCTAAATGTCTTTTCTGTAACTTTTCAATTCTTATTGAAATCTAAATTTTGTAGGTATAACTTTGTAACATATTTCTATATAGCATAGATATACATACCTAAGAACTTTAAATGTTTTAATTTACACAAAACAAAAATAATCTTCATAGTATTGTTTTTTTTAAAGATTCATTTATTTTATTACGTATACAACGTACTGCCTGCATGTATGCCTGAACGCCAGAAGAGGGCACTAGATCTTATTATAGATGGTTGTGAGCCACCATGTGGTTTCTGGGAATTTAACTCAGGACCTCTGGAAGAGCAAGCAGTGCTCTTAACCTCTGAGCCATCTCTCCAGCCCGTATTTTTTAATACCATTGGCTATATCTCGCACACAGTACACAAGATTATTTTTTTTCTATTTTTCTTACATTTAAAGCTTTCTCTGTTATTAATGTCTCAAGTTTCTACTAATGAGTCTTCAGGAACTTTCCTGCAGGTTGGAATGCAGGAAATTAGAGGAAATTGCTACAAGAGTATCAATTCCAAACTCTTACTGCCTTCATCAGAGTTTAAATGCTTGTCAGAAATTTCACCAAATATATTTTTCCAAGCATGGTAGCTAAGTGACAAAATAGCCTTCTCTTAAACATGTATCTCACTTTACTCCTTTCCTTCATAGCCTAGAGTCCTTGTAGATCTCAACCTGTGGGGTGTGATCCCTTTGGACGTCAAACAACTGCTTCACAGGGGTCATTTAAGACCATCAGAAACAAGCACTGTTTCTGACATGAACTCAATGTCTGACTCTTTGACCACTGCCCCCAAATTCCCAGGGAGGGGCAGCCTTGCTAGGCTACAGAGGAGGACACTGCAGCCAGTCCTGATGAGACCTGATAAGCTAGGGTCAGATGGAAGGGGAGGAGGACCTCCCCCATCAGTGGACTGAGAGGGGGCAGGGAAGAGGTGAGGGAGGGAAGGTGGGATTGGGAGGGAATGAGGGAGGGAGCTACAGCTGGGATACAAAGTAAATAAACTGTAACTAATATAAAAAAATAAAAAATTAATTTAAAAAAGACCATAAGAAAACACAGATATTTATATTACAATTCAAAATAGTACCAAAATTTCAGTTATGAAGAAGCAACAAAAGTGATTTTACGGTTGGGGGTCACCACAACATGAGGAACGCTAAAATCACAGCATTAGAAAGGTTGAAAACCACTGTTGTAGAGGTTCCTCCAGTCCTCAGTCCTGGCAGTTTGGTTTCTACTCTGCCACCACCCTGAGTTTTCTTGAAGATTCAAAGTAAACACCAGACCCCATGAACTTTTTTATTAAGCCAGCATCAGCCTCTGTGACCTTGTCTTTTGAGTCTTTCCCTGTTGTCATTGCTAAGCACTTCAGTGCCTGACCTGTTCCCAACTCAGACTGTTTTTCCCCCTCTAGTGGACATGCAGCACTATAGAGCTGCAGTTTGGGTTGTCACACAAAGTTTAGGAATCTGCTGAACTCCCTACAATGTACAGGAACTCCTACCCCACAGCAAAGAACTATCTAAATCCAGATGTCACGTGCAGTGAGGTTAGGACACCCTGCAGTCGACAGAGATCGACAAGCCCAAAGGATGTTCAAAAATTGTAGGCTGGGGATCTGGTCCCCAATCCTGATGGTCACTGTACCCTCACCAATGACAGACAACCTCAAGTCAAATTTCTGCTGCTAGAGGTGTCTCACAGGCCATAACAGCTTCTTATTCTCCAGGTTCTGTCTCTGAGAAATAGTCAGGGTTCTTCCAGTTGTGTCTCAGTCAGGTGCAGGTACAGTCCTCCTTCCTTCTACCCAAAGACTTACAACACATAGATAGTTCTTCTCAACACATTTTATAAGCATAGAGGGGGAGAAACAGACTCATCTCCCTCCTATAACTCACTCCTCCTCCCATAGGGTTAGGGTTCTGTTCCACTTTACATTTCTGAATACGCTGAGAGCTTTGGAAATCCACATTCTCCTCCATTTGACGTGTCACTGAGTTTGAAGGGAGAATCCTGACAGATAGCACTATGCTTTGTCCATGTAGACTGGCAAACCCTCTGTGCACTATCTGTTCTGACTCACCTTGGAGCAGTGGCCTGAGTTTCCTGTTCAGGCCTCTCCCCCCACCTGGTTCTGCTCACTGGGGACTAGGGAAAATTTCTGTTATGACGTTGTACCATCATCACAGAAGTCCTTGCTTGCATCTGGTGCTGGCAACCCCTGTAATCTTTCAGAATTCTCATAGCGGTGGCAAATCTCTGATGTGTTTATTTAAGTCAAGCATAAACCTGAGGCTAACACATCCCAGGTCTCATTTGATGATTTCATTTCTTGTGACATTTCTCTCTCAGAATGCAAACCTATTTAGTTCACTCCTGGGAAAAAACACCTCAGGCTTGACCTGTGGTAACAGATTTTCTACAGAATATAAGCATCCTATCTAGTTCATTTCTGGGGACTTGGAATAAAGGAGTCATCACTATTTGCTATCTGCTCCTTCAAGTCCCCTATCAATTAAGTTTTTTTTTAATTAAATTTTTATTTTTTATATTAGTTTGTTTACTTTGTATCCCAGCTGTAGCCCCCTCCCTCATTCACTCCTAATCCCACCCTCTCTCCCTCATCTCCTCCCTGCCCCTCTCTAAGTCCACTGATAGGGGAGGTCTTCCTCCCCTTCTATCAATTAAGTTTCTTTATTGGTACATTGTTTTGAAATTAATCTTCTGAGCCATGCATGATAATGCACACCTATAACCTCAAAACGTAGGAAGTAGAGACAGGAAGAGCTGGACTCAACATTATCCTCAGCTACATACTGAGTTTGAGGCTAGTCTGGACGACAAGAGCCCATATTTAAAAAAAAAAGAGTGAGAAATAAAAGATATAAAAGAAAAATTACCTGATATAAGAATGGTGTAGCTTCTGAAAACAGGAATCTACTTGTTAACTTAAAGAGAAGTGATCTAGCCGGGTGTGGTGGCGCATGGCTGTAATACCACCACTTGGGGAGACTGAGGCAGGTAGGTCTCTGTGAGTTCTAGACCAGTTTGGTCTAAAAAGTGAGTTCCGGACAGCGAAGCCTACACAGAGAAACCCTATCTCAAAAAACAAAACAAAAACAAAAACCAGAGAGAGATTAGTAATCTAGGTAAAATGGAACTTTATTTATTTAACACAACTGCAAAGAAAGAAGAGGGAGCTGAGCTCTCTGGAGTCACTTGATCAGTTCCTCTGTGTCCCAACTTATCAGCTCCCTGGAGTCATCTGCTAGTATTGCTCTAAAACTGGAAAGCAGCAGGGCCTGTTCCCTACCATAGCCAGGGCCAGTTCATGACCCTGGACCCTACTTCCAGTGATCCACTGACTCTTTTCCCCAATACTGTTCTGACAATTTAATCTATCTGTTTACATCTTCCAGCCTAAAGTGTTTTGGCTAACAATAGGTTGAATGGCCACTCTGGCTTTATCTTCTAAGGTTTAGGTATATAGAAAGGGTGGGGTTTTATATATTTACACTGAGGGGAACTGCACATAAGCAAGCATGCTCCAAGCAGTTCTATGGTGTGGAATTCAAATGATCTGGAATACAGAAGAAACCATCAAAACCTGTCCCTCCTCCCATTCCCGTGAACCCCCTCCCATTCTCCTCCACCCCCCCCCAAAAAAAAAACTGACTTTCTTTTTGGAAACTTCTGTATCACATTTTTAAAAACTCAGCGAGGGGCTGGCAGGCAGCCTTGCCTTCCACAGCGGAAGCAAGTTTCCCTCTGTAAAAAATTCACTGATTTACACCAAGGGCAATCCCAATCCCCATCCTTGAGAAATGCTGTTATTCTCTGCTGCTGAGGTCTGCTATCACTGCTTTGTTTTGGGGGATCTTGGAAGTATACTGTTGGGCCCGCAGTTTCAGACATATTCATATCAGTGGCCATGAAGTAGGGAGGCATCTGAGGTTCTGTGAATATGCTTGGTGGTGGGGATGGGGTGGGTGTGACTGGGAAGGGGCTTTCATACCTGTATGTAAATGAGTCAGGGAGTTCAACAGTAACTGTTTGTGAGAAGGATGTGGACTGGAGATTGGATGGCTGAGGGGCAAAGCATGTGGGTGTTGCCATAGATTTGCCTCCCCTTCCCCCCTGCTCCTCTAAGCGAAAGGGAGGAAGAACTGTAAGATGCCCCTGGGTGCTTCCTTCCTGCTTTACTGTGTGTGTTGGCTCCACTCTGGATGCCTCAGGGGCAGCCTTGGGTACAGCCCCATTCATCTCCCTCTTTGGTTCATACGCCGTTGTATCACGAGCTGTCGCCCCTTCTCTCTGTCTTGCATTCTGTATCTCCATCTCTGCCCCTCTGGCGGCAGCAGCAGCAGCGGTGGCGGCAGCAGCAGCAGCAGCAGCTGGGGTCCTCATCTCCTGGAGAGAAGTGAGCAGAGTTGAAACATGTTCCTGTAATAGGGTATGGACATAGAGGTGGAAAGGGTGGGGCTAAGACTGGGATAGGAGGTAGGCTTACCGCATACACTAGCTTCCGTCTCATCAGGTCCCGCTCTCTCTCCACCTCTGCTAGCTTGGTGTGGGCCAACTGAAGCTGGTAGGCCATCTCCTTGCGTTCCAGTTCATGCTGGTATGAGAGCTTCTTCAATTCTGCTGCCAAGGCATGTGCCGCTGACCTGTGCAGGCTGGCGAAGTCATGCAGCCACTGCACTCTGCGCCCCTGCAAGTGGCCTTGCCTGCAAGCGAAGCGAACACCCAAGGCCAGGCTGCCCCAGGCACAGGCTTCCCGAGCTTCCCGGGGCACCTTGGTATTCTCCAGGATGACGTTGAGCTTGTCTTCCACCTCCTCCCAGGACAAGGACATGTTCTCAAGGTAGAACTCGGGGCCTTTTCTATGCTTGGCCATTTGCTCATTGATGAACATTAGCACATTGCCATGTCGGAACCCACTAGTGGAATCCTCGGGATTCATGATGGCTAAGCGCCTTAGGGGTTTCGCCGGACCTATAAGTATTGAACAACTTGTTGTGGGTCTTTGTTAGCACCTCCCCCTCTCCCCTTCAGCCTCCCATCAATTCCTTAGCACTCTCTTCCCCTGCAACATGCCAGCCATTCTTCTCTAAACGAGACTCCTTAGAAGGCTTTCTATCTTCCTAGGACAACCCACAACAGGCCTCACCTCTCCAACTAATGGCTAGAGAAAGTATAGACCGAACATACCTGCCAAAACACCAGCCTGACAACCAGTCCTCGCTCTCAGGTAGACAGCGCCACTGAAAATGACTCTCGAGGCCAAGTCTCGCGGTTTTTGCTCTTGGACTGTTCCAACGTCTAGGACCGCAGGGGTGACGTTTTGTGGAATGGAGGGAGTTGCGTCCGCTTACAAGAAAAAAAAAAATGGGAACCAACTGTTGATATGATTAAAACCCACTGAAGATAGAAAGAAACAGGAATGACACAAAAAAATTCTAAAAAAAAAAAAACTTTAACAATCTAAGCAAGTTTCAAAAGTTGTACCCCCGAGCATAATAGTTTGTCCCATCTGTACAAGTCGGTTCATATGGATGGAATGTTCGAGAACTGGAAACATAATCTACACCAACCACACAGGGTTTTCCTGACACAACCTAAGGAAGAGAATGGAGTCCAGGGTAGGGTAGGGTGGGGTGGGGTGGGGTGGGGTGGGGTGGGGGTGGTGGGGAGGGAGCATTGCTCCATCAGCCGTAGTTCACTATAACAATCTGTGGTCATTTCTTTATCCCAAATGAAGCACCTCTCACCTCCACTTGCCTCCACTGTCAGTGCATCCTCAAGCACCCCTCCATGTGGCAGTTTTTTTTTTTTTTTTTTTTTTATCAGGTCCCTTTCGTTTTTCCCATTCACTATTAAAGCTCTCCAAAATTAGGCAGGTAGCCCTCTTATGCCGACATCAGAAGTACCTATATGTCCCTTACACTGCTCAATGAGGGGGATGGAGAGATGACTCAGCCGTTAAGTACAGTTGCTGTTTTTGCAGAGGTCTTGAGTTCAATTGCCAGTACCCACTTGTCGGTTCACAACTGTCTATATAGTCTTATGAGATTTGGTATCCTCTTCTGGTGTGCAGACGTATATAGAGACAAAACACCCATAAATATAAATAAATAAATCTTGATGAGTAAAACAATGCCCCACGACTTTCTGAGGTCTCAAAAACCAGATCACAGGCTGAGTCATGTTTCGACATTTATTTTATGACCTTAACTGAATTTTAGTTTCTCCCTGTGGATCTATGTTGAAGATCAAATGACAAAAGTGCATGTACAATTGAAGGCATATTCCATGATTACATTTTTTTTTTTCTTTGAGACATGGTCTCACTATGTAGACCAGAGTGGCCTCAAACTTATAGACATATGTCTGTGTCTGACTCCCAAGAGCTGGGATTAGAGGTGTATGCCACCAGTCCCCACTCTGATTCTGACTCTGTGAAATGTATAAGGTAAAGATACACATATAGCCCCTTTGAAGAAGTGGCTAGGGAAAAGTGACTTTTTAAACTTTTAACAGTTCTCTCTCTGGTTTAATTTGTTATAAAGAAAATAGGTATGCATATATTAAAAACCTCTAATAGTATCCTGGTATAGTGGTGCACACCTTTAATTCCAGCACTTGGGAGGCAGAGGCAGGTGGATCTCTGATTTGGAGGCTAGCCTTGTCTACAGAGTGAGTTCCAGGACAGGTGGGTCTATGTAGAGGGACCCTGTTTTAGTAATTTTCTTTGAGCAATAGGAATATTGAGTTGTTTGTGAGGTTTTGGTTTGGTTTCTGTGACAAGGTCTTACTATGTAGTCCTGCCTGGCCTCAGATTCCCTATGTAGAACAGGCTGGCCTCAAATTCACAGAGAGCAGCCTGCCTCTGCATCTGAAATGCTAGGGTTGAATGTGTGCACTATCAAGCCTGGCTAGAGTATTTTATAACAACAGTTTTGTGTTGTTATAAAAATGTTTAGAGGCTGAGGATGTGGGTCAGTGGGTAAACAGCATTTGCCACACACATTGAGGACCAGAATTTTGAATCCTCAGAACTTGCACAAAGCTAGATATGGCAGGTGGCATCTGTAATCACAGGGCTCCTGAGAGTGGAAGGAAGTCAGGAACAGGTGACTCAAAAGTCAGCTCTTCTGACTTTATACAACAGCAAAACAAGAGACACTGTCTCAAGATGGATCTGAGGAGGAATATGTGTGTTTACACTTTAACCTTCAGACACACAGCATCCATGGCAAACATAGGCCCACAGTCACACATCCACATAAATTAATTTTTAATTTTTTATTTTGCTTTTATTAATTGCAGTTTATTCACTTTGTATCCCAGCTGTAGCCACCTCCCCCATCCCTTCCCAATCCTCTTCTCCTATGCCCCTCCTCCAGTCCAATGATAGGAGAGGTCCTCCTCCCCCTACTATCTGATCCTAGTCTATCAGGTCTCATCAGGACTGGCTTCTTTGTCTTCTTCTATGGACTGGTAAGGCTGCTCCCCCATCAGGTGGAGGTGATCAAAGAGCTAGTCTATGAGTTCATGTCAGAGACAGTCCCTATTCCTATTATTGGGGAACCCTCTTGGACACTGAGCTGCCATGGGCTACTTCTGTGCAGGGGTTCTAAGTTATCTCCATGCATGGTCCTTGTTTGGGGTATCAATCTCAGAAAAGACCCCTGTGCCCAGATTTTTTGGTTCTGTTGCTGTCCTTGCGGAGCATCTGTTCCCTCCAGGTCCTTCTATATCCCTTTTCTTTCATAAGATTCCCTGAACTCTGCAAAAAGTTTAGCTATGAATCTCAGCATATGTTTTGATACCTGCTGAGTAGTCTTTCAGAGGCCCTCTGTGATAGGCTCCTGTCCTGTTCCCTCTTTTCTCCCTCTTCTGATGTCCTTCTCGTTTACCTTTGTGAATGAAGATTAAACATCTTACCAAGGTCCTCCTTCTTGATTAGCTTCCTTAGGTGTACAGATTTTGGTATGATTATCCTGTATTATATGTGCAATATCCATAATTATATGTGTAATACAAGTGAGCATATGCCATGTGTGTCTTTCTGCTTCTGGGAAACCTCATTCAGGATGATCATTTCTAGATCCCACCATTTGCCTGCAAATTTCATGATTTCTTTGTTTTTAATTGCTGAGTAGTATTCTACTATATAAATATACCACAATTTCTGTATCCATTCCTCAACTGAGGGACATCTGGATTGTTTCCAGCTTTGGCTATTACACATAACCTTGAACTCATTGACACAGGAGACAACTTCCTGAACAGAACAACAGCAGCACAGGCTCTAAGATCAACAATTAATAAATGGGACCTCATGAAACTGAAAAGCTTCTGTAAAGTAAAGGACACTCCAAAGAACAAAACAACAGCCTACAGACTAGGAAAGGATCTTCACCAACCCTATATTTGACAGAGTGCTGATATCCAGAATATATAAAGAATTAAAGAAGTTAAAAAGCAATAAATCAAGCAATCCAATTTAAAAATGGGGTAGGGATATAAACAGAATTCTCTGTAGAGGAATATAGAATGGCAGAGAAACAAAGAGATACTCAATGTCCTTAGCCAAATTTATCAGGGCACAGTGGTCTTTCATGAGACTGTTTCTCCAACCAAGGATATAACCTAGAACCCCTGCTCGGGGTAGCTCAGTATCCAAGTGTGTTCCCTAGTAAGGGGAACAGGGACTATTTCTGACATGAACTCAATGGCTGACTCTTTGACACCCCCCCCCCCCCCCCCAGGGAGGAGCAGCCTTTCTAGGCTAAGAGGACATTGCAGCCAGTCCTGAAGAGACCTGATAAGCAAGGGTCAGATAGAAGGGGAGGAGGACCTCCCCTATCAGTAGACTTGGAAAGGGGCAGGGAGGAGATAAGGGAGGGAGGGTAGGATTGGGAGGGAAAGAGGGAAGGGGCTCCATCTGGGATACAAAATAAATAACCTATGATTAATATAAAAAATTATATAAAAAAAGAACTTCAGAAGTTAAACAGCAACAAATCAAGTAACCCAATTAAATGGGGTACAGAGCTAAACAGAGAATTCTCAATAGAGAAACACTGAATTTCAGAGAAACACTTAAAGAAACGCTCAACATCCTTAGTCATCAGGGAAATGCAAATCAAACTGACCCTGAGATTTCACCTTACACCCATCAGAATGGCTAAGATGAATAACTCAAGTGACAACACATGCTGGAGAGGTTGTGGAGAAAGAGGAACCCTCCTCCACTGCTGGTGGGAATGTAAACTTGTACAACCACTCTGGAAATCTATCTGGCGCTTTCTCAGACAACTAGGAATAGTGCTTCTTCAAGATCCACCTATACCACTGCTAGGCATATATCCAAAAGACGCTCGAGTATATACAAGTTATTTTTTAAAGTTTATCATAAGATGTATTATATTTCCCAAAACAAAAGAAAAAATAATATCACATAATAGTAAATATTCTTTTTAAAAATCATTATCAACATATATTCATTATGTAAAACAATGTATTTTATTGTGACATATTTATGTGTATATGTTGTACATTGCTCATAGCCATGCCCCATTATCTTCTCTTGTACCTCTTACTAAACCCCATCTCCTCAGATAGTAGTACTCCTTCTACTTTATTATATCATATATGCGATACATTGTATAACATAATATACATATATATTTCACATAAGACAAAACTTTATATCATTTGTCTTTCTGACTATGGTTCATTTCCTTAAAATCATGACCTCCAGTTTTATCCATTTTCTTACAAATGACAATATTTTTCTCAATTTAAATTTTTTTTGTATATGGTATATTCTTGTGTATATATATATGTGATTATGTTTGCCTGTGCAGTCATATTTGGAGGCCAGACATTGATACTGTGATACTTTTTGCAATCACTTCTCTGCCTTATTTTTATTATGTTTATTTATTTATCTATTCATTTATTCATACACACTTGTTAACAGTATATGCGTGGAAGTCAGAAAACAACTGCCAAGAGTGGGTCTTTTCTACCAGGTGGGTCCTGGGTATCAAACTCAGGTCATGCTTGGCAGCAGATGCCATTATCCAAAGTTCTGTTTTCCCATCCCTACTTTTTTTGACATGATCTCTTAGTGAACCCAGGATTGGAGGTTTTGTGTACATTTCGGGGCCAGTGAGCCCCTGGCTTTTACCTGTCTTGGACCTTCAACATTGGAATTACGGAGGCATGTTGCCATCTTTGGCTTTTTCCATGGGTGCTAGTGATCCGAATTCAAGTCGTAATGCTTATATAGCAAGTACTTTATCCAGTGAGACCTCTCATTGACCCACAATTTTATTTTTCTTTATGGATAAATAAAATTTCATTATACACATATATTCCTAATGTATTTTTTTTGTTGGTGGACATATAGGCTAACTCCAAGATGTAGCTATAGTAAACAGTGCCTTAATAAACATGGATGTACAGGTAACCCTGTTGTATACTAACTTAAGTATCCGCTGTGCCAGAAAATATTTCTATTTTCAGTGTTTTAAGGAACCTCTCTACTAATTTCTGTAGTTGTTTGGACTAAGTTTTTAGTGTGTCTTTCCAAATTCTCTAGTTTCTCAGTGTAGCTTTGATTTGCATTTTGCTGATGGCTAAGGATATTGAAAGTTTTGCTCATGCATATTTTTACTTTGAGAAATGTTCAGTTCCTTTGGTGATTTGTTAATTGGATGCCATTTTTCATGTTTTGACATTCTGATGTGTATATACACATATATATACATATATATGTGTATATACACTCATATATGTATATATATTATAGACATATAAATATTAAATATCTTCTTTACTGTGTTCTTTTATTTGCTCTGTATAAACTTTATAATTTTCTTGCAGTACCATTTCTCTGTCCATGCTCCTTTATCCAGGGCTATTGGAATGCTCTTTATAAAGTCATTGCCAGTGCTTATAACTTAAAGTGTTTCTCCTGTTTTCTTTTAGGAGGTTTAAGGTTTCAAAGTCTTAAGTTAAGGTCTTGATCCAGTTTTGAATCAGTTTTCATGCAGGATAAGAGATAACTGATTTGTTTTCATTTTCCTCCATGTGGATATACAGATTTCCCAGTACCATTTATTCAAGAGGCTGTATTTTATTCATTATAGGTTTTGGAGATATTTGAAAACCAGATGGCTATGTGCATTTAAATTTTGTCTTATTTTTTATTCCATTGGTCTGCATGCCTGCTTTTGTGCTAGCCACATTCTGTTTTTGTTAGTATGGCTCTGCAGTATCATTTGAAATCTGGTAATATGATTTCTCTGACATTGCTCTTTCAGCTCAGAATTTGGAGTCTTTTGTGTTTCCATAATAAACCTTACTACTGTGCTTTTTGTTCTTGTAGAAAAGGTGATTGAAATTTTAATGGGGTTTGCACTGACTGTCGATCACTTTTTTTCGTAGTATTAATTCTGCAAGTCAGTGTTCATTTCTTCTAGTATCTCTTTTAATTTCTTCAGTTTTTCTTTAACCTTTAAAAAAAAACTCTTTTGTTACCTTTGTTCCTAGATAGATACCATTCTCTCTTTTTGGATGTTGTGAATGGAACATTTTTCTTGATTTTTTTTCTCAGTATGTTCATTATTATTCAGAAACACTACTAATTTTTGTATGTTGCTTTTTTTATCTTTTTATTTGACTGCAGTTGATTACCAGATCCATTAATTTTTAACTTTTTATTGGTTCTTGGTGAATTTGATATTGTGCACCCCAAACCCACTAATCACCCCTCCCTTTTTACCCACCTTCCATACTTGCAACCTCCCCCATCCAACCAAGAAAAAAAAATCTTATTGTGGAAGCTGTAGTGTGTCACACTGTGTCCCACACTATGTCCTTTGGTCCACACATCTTTACCTGCAAATGTTTATTGCAGTGACTCATTGCTCTGATTTGAGGCCTCTGGCTTCTGCTATGCTATCAATACTAGAAACTCACGGGGACTTCTCTTGACTATCCTGTTGTTTTCCTGTGTCATGGAGAGCTTGTAGATTTTGGATCTGTAGGACTGGCCACTTCATGCACTCCAGCAGTTTATCCATGGGATAGATGTTGAAGTGGGCCAATTCAAAGCCCTGGATCTGGGCCGGAGAGGTATATGAGGTAGTCAGCTCACTGGCTCTCCCACTCTCGTGCCCTTGGGGCTGTCTCACTTGCACCCCCACAGCCAGGGCCAACTCTGCTGTGCTGTCCAGGCAAAGTGCATGGCCCACTGTTGCAACTGGTGAAGTGCAGAGCCAGTTCTCCTGTTCTCATGACCCCAGGGCCAGGTCTCCTGCTTGCTGCAGTTGGTGAAGGTCGAGGGGCGAGGAAGAGGAGAGAGCAGGAGGGGAAAGGAGGGTATCACTCCTTTGTCCACATCACCACATTGAGGAGTGGTAAAGCCATCTCTTCCATGTCTGTATCCTCAGAGCCAATCACCTGCAACACCTATTATCTAGCTCACCCCTAACTCCTGCTATGTGCAGAGCCCACTCTCCCAAGTACTGTAGCTGACTAAGGTGTGGCCAATTCTCCTGCTCTCATATCCCTCAGAACAACATCTCCAACACTGCCTAGGTGAAGGGTTGGGCTAGTTCTGATAGCTCTTAGACATCAACATGTACCTAGGCAGCAACTCAGACCAGGGACATCTGTCTGGCCTTTTGTGGTATCAGATCCATTAGTGTGTGTGCCAAAGTGGAAGGACAGGTCAGGACCTCACCATGGTCCCAGGTGGTATCACATCAGGTTGTCCCTCACTACTCTTGAGTCCCCAGTTTACCTTTCTTCTTTGTACCCACATTTTTGTTTAGCTTTCTCTTCCATTTTTCTACTTAGTAGTATCCAGGGTCTCTGAGTGTCTGGGATCATCTCAAGAGTGCTCTCAGGAGTATGTGCCCTGTTTGTGCATTATGACATTGGGCAGAGATCATCTCAGTCATGGTCTGCCCCCACCCCAGGCCTGCACTGGTTGGTGTTCATCTCGGGCTAGCTCCCTGTCCAGGGTCCAGGGCACTGATCTGATGTTAGTCATGTGCTCACTTCTTGACCTTCTCAGGTTCTCTCCTCACCCATGTGGCTCTGTTTGAGTGTTGTCTGTTTCATGCTCATTCCTGCCCAGGGCCCGGTGTCCCAGACAGGATTCTTTTAGTCTCCAGCTTACTTGCCACCCTCAGAGTAAGGGTATCTTGTGCACATGGAAATGCACTCAACAATTAAAAGTAAAAAAAAAAAATCTATGCATCTATCTACCTACCTACCTATCTACCTACCTATGTACCTATCTATCTATCTCAGACAGTTAACAACATTACCGTTGGTCATTGGTGTGATTACAGGAAAATGTGTTCTTTCTATGTCCTTTCTATGTAGGAGATGCTCCCCAAGAGAAAATAGAAGAATGGACATGGACATACTGAGAACTTAGGCAGCAAGGGGGTTCAAACTTGAAAGGTACATCTGGTACATGGCCATACCTGAGGTGAAGAGCCCTGGGTACTCAAAGATGGTAAGCTTCTAAATTGAATGAAGGCCTAAGGGGCAACTGGTCAGGGCTCAGCACCAGCTGAGCTGTAGGAAAGACAAAATATTATAGTACCAACTTACCATACACCTCACCTGGAAGATTCCCATATGAAAGGACTAAGAATATGTCACAAAGTTTCTTGTAATTTTTTGTACTTATTTTTTCCTTTTTGTTATTTGCCCTTTGTTGTTATTATTGCCGTTGTTCTTCTTCAAATATATTTTAGTATTATTTTTACTTTATTTTTTTAAGTTGCTATACTGGCTAGTTTTATGTCAGCTTGCAATAAGCTAGAGTCATCAAAGAGGAGGGAGCATCAATTGAGAAAATGCCTCCATAATATCTGCCATAAGGTATTTTCTTAATTAGTGATTGATGGAGAAGGGTCTAGGCCATTATGGGTGAGGCCACCCCGGCCAGGTGGTCCTGGATTCTATAAAAATGTAGGCTTAGCAGATGCTGAGTCTGATGGCCAACTGATGGGCAGAGTGAATGGAATTCTATGTAAGAAGTGGGAAATAGTAAGAGCTGGAGGGGACGGGAACTCCACAAGGAGAGCAACAGAACAAGATAATTTGAACACAGGGAACTTCCCAGAGACTCATACTCCAACCAAGGACTATTCGTGGAGATAACCTAAAACCCCTGCACAGATGTAGCCCATGGCAGTTCAGTGTCCAAGTGGGTTACATAGTAATGGGAAGAGGGACTGCCTCTGACATAATCTGATTGGCCTGCTTGTTGATCACCTCCCCCTGAGGGGGGAGCAGCCTTATCAGGCCACAGTAGAGGACAATGCAGCCACTTTTGATGAGAACTGATAGACTAAGATCAGAAAGGAGAGGAGAACCTCCCCTATCAGTGGACTTGGGGAGAGGCATGCATGCAGAAAGGGGAGGGAGAGTGGGATTGGGAGGGGAGGAGGGAGGGGCTTATGGGGGGATACAAAATGAATAAAGTGTAATTAATAAAAAAAAAGATATATACATGAAAAAAAAAAAAAACAACCACTTTCGTCCACAGAAGATGTTATATCTGTTATCCATTCTGTCTAGTAAATAGGATCACAGGCTCAGGCATGAGTTCTAATCCCAGCTCCTGAGTAGCCATATAGTTTTGTACAATTTTTCCCAATAAAAAAAAATGTAGGCTTAGTAAGTCACAGGGAATAAGCCAGGAAGAAGCAGTCCTCCATGGCCTCTGCATCAGCTCCTACCTCCTGGTTCTTGCCCTGTTTGAGTTTCTGTCCTGACTTCCTTTGATGATGAACAGTGTTATGGAAGTGTAAGCCATATAAGCCCTTTCCTTCCTAAGTTGCTTTGGTTATGGTGTTCACCACAGCAACAGAAACCCTAACTAGGACAGAATTCACTCCTTAATACAAATTTTGTTATGTATCTATTAGAGTTCTCAGAGAAACAGAATAGAGACAGAAATGGACACACACCCAGAGAAAGGCAGACTTAGAAAAATAAACAGAAAGACAAACAGAGGCAGTTAAGCTCATGTAATCATGGAAGGTAGTAAGTACGAAATCTGCAAGGTAAAGAGCCAAGTGAGCTCCTATGTTGTAATTCACTTCCAATCTTATTTTCTTAGAAGGTTATTTTTTTTCTGCTGCTTTCAACTTCCTAGGCAAGACCTATTCACAATACTATATTCAAAGTCTCCCGATTAAAAAAATCTAAACCTTACCTTCACAGAAACATGCAGAAGAATATGTGACCAAAAACATCTGGGTATTGTGGGTTAGACAAGCTGACACAGAGAAGTGAGCCTCATGGTGCCTAGAATTTCTATTTAATGTGAAAGTCTTTAATGGTAAAGCCTTTTAAGAGCTTCTTTGAGAAATCATTGTATGCAAAGTGCCACTATTTGAAATTTCTAAAATGATATGTAAATACAAGAGCCTTCTTGAAAATTCAGTTAAAGCATAGTATGTCAGGAGAATACTGAAGATTCAAAAATTGTAGTATATACTTAGAAATGTGTTATGTTGGTAGAATAAAATCTTAATGGGAAGTAATGCAAAGAATTTGAACACTTCTTCCAGAGAACTAAAGATGGAGAAGACAGAGAAGTGAGCAAAAGCCACTCTTCATACCACAAGGAGATATTATATTGATGATGGTGATAGTAGATGTCTGAGGGTGATAAATTAATAGTGAACATATGAAATTTACAATGTAGGATAATCAAATGTGCTATCTTGGATTTGGAAGAAAGTAGGAGACAGAGTCCTCCATTAATACAAGGATTTAAAGTGAGATTAGATGAACAGTCTTTCTTTGCCACATTCTCTGTCAGGAAATCTTCGTGTGTGTGTGTGTGTGTGTGTGTGTGTGTGTGTGTGTGTGTGTGTG